TGATGCAAGTTTCCAATCACACCCTGGCCATTGCAAATAGAAGTGGTTCTCTTTTTATCGATTAATAAAAGTTTTTATCAAGGAAATTTCAGGCTATTTTTCGTTAAACATTCAAATTAAGCCTGTAGCACTATATTTGTCGACATAACTACTTTCAATCAATCCTGACCATTAAAACAGAATTTGTTGTCATGAGAATTTTGACCACTTTCTAATCAGTGAAAATCTCAAGTTTCAAATGGATCTTTGCGTCTTCTGAGAATGAAAATAAATACCAGAATGTTTCTAGAATGCTTCAAGTAAAATTTATCTCCATTTTATTAGGAAACAGCATTTTCCCCACATTCTGGAAAAAATAGCAGCCCATAACCAGAACGATTGTGAAATAAAATTAAATATTTAAACCTACATTTTTCAAGTGGATAAAAAAAAAGAAGAAAATAATTAAATTTCTGAACCAAAAATCATTGTTTCGTAACAGCATCACATTTCTGATAAACATTTATGAATTCAATTTACCAATGTATTTCAATGAGTCATTAACAATGATCGATTTCTAAACAGTTAAAAACTAGAGTTCCAAATGGCTCTGCCTCTAATAAAATTAAAAATTACTTCTGCTTTAGAAATGCTCATAGCAAAATGCGTCTCCATTTTATCATTACATTAAATTAGACCGAGGTCTGACATAAACAAAACTAGATCTAAACAATTGTATAAATAAAATAGAAATCTCAAAACTTACGTTTTTCAAGTAGATTAAAAATAAGGAAAATTCTCATTTCTACAAAGTCTTAAAAAAACATTTTTGTAGTAAATTTTTTCTGTCACCTCTTTCTCCTGTCATTTCAGGTCTGACGAAAATAAATCCATGAGCCCATAATAAATTATTCCTCTTATATGATTTTTACTGTTTTTTATTTTGTTTCACAGCTTGAAAAATAATGTTTACAATATTGCTTTTTACTTAATATTTTGTAATTAAAAAGAAAAAAAAGAAAAATAACTTGTTGTTGCTCTCGTAGATCGTTAAGGCAAGGGGTGATACTGTACATAAGAAAAAACTTATAAACATAAAATATTAAGTTATGCCATGCGTTAACTATAAAAATATCCCGTTTTATTCTTTTGATGCTTTTTCTAACTTTCTAACAAAAATTTCTTCATTGAAAAAGTAGTGTATTTAAAGTTATTTACTAAGTGTATATATTTTTCAGCTCACTATAATATATTTAAATTATGCATGTTAATTAAACGAACATTTAAAGAAGACTTTAATAACAAAAGAGGTTTTTAAAAAATATAAATATTCTAAAATATTCAAATTTAAATGTATTTTAGTCTCAGCTCAATTAAATATTTTAACTTGATTTTATTCATCAGCCTATTTCGTTTTTTTTAATTATAGCTATTGTTAGATTTAAAAGAACAGTTTGGAAGTATTTCATTAATAATTAGTAAGGCCTTCCTTGGAGAATTAAACAGAAAATGATTTAAATGAGTTATTTCAAGTGGAAATATTTCTTTTAATTTCTTCTTCAAAAACAATTAAACATGGATAGATATATTTTTTTAAATCAATTGTGCCTTAATTCCATTTAAATGAAGGATCATTTTACGCAAGTTAAAATGCTTTGTTTAATTTAAATATGTTTTATTGTGGGAGAAGTTTAATTTCAGATTATTTCTTTATTATGAAGTATCAGAGAAAAATATAAATTTGAAATACACGCATTTATATATTTTATCTGATTGACTATATTAAGAATACAACTTAAGCTTATTTACTATGGCTCTATTTTACTTATTATCAGGCAGTCAAATTTATTTCTTTTATTATGTTTACATTTGTGAAAATGTTGGATTTACATCGCAATAATTTTAAGAGCTTAGTAGACGAAGATTTTCAGCTATATATTTGTTACACTGTTAGAAATTTCGCAGACAAAAATAGCTCAATAACTATTTATTTAATTATTTTACCATATTCTAACAAAAAATTCACATAACAATAAAAAATATAGTACTCAAACTGTTTACTGTGAGAAAAACTGTTTATTTTCTGCTTTTGCCTAAAACGTTTATGATTACCAGAATTTCATCTCATTGACTAAGTCCACCTAATTAAGCCACTTAGTCCGTATCAGCTGGGTACGTATTATAGGTGAGATGGCAAAATCTGTTAACCTCATGACCGACATAAAGATGGTCGAGTTTATGTATTTCATTCACTATATTTCCCCTTTCCCTTCAAGATATGATGAGTTTCCAGTGTTTTTTATCCTTAATTTATGAACCTGGACTATTATAATATAATACTCTCATTCATGCATAGATGGCAGCACCATAAAGCAGCTTAGCACAAAAAAGACTTGTATTTTCCTTCTTTTTACGATTGAAACAACCAGATTAACTAATTAATCTAAATTCTACGGTTCAGTTGGTAAGACACAAATTAACCACAACCTAAGAGCAATGCCCATTCCCTAAAGAAAAGTTTAGCTCCAATGCCAAATTGAAATTTTTTATAGTTTAAAAACCAGGCACGTTCGATATTGTTAAAAACTGTATAGTCTTGTAATCACGGATTTTTAAACATATCAACTGTGAACGGTTTCAAAAACAAAAAAAGCAATTAATTTCTTATTTAACTTAAACTTTACTACTAATTAATGTACATCCTGCTGTCAGTTTTTTGCCAGAATTTTAGATTGAAAATTCTTACAGTGCAGTAGATGGAAATTTTCATCAACATTTTTGTATATTCTGTTTAATATCCAGCTTTTTAAGTTCAGCAATTGTGGAAAAGCTGATTGCAAAAGACAATTTCAACCCTTCTTATTTAATAACTATCGTAAAAAAACATGATTTAAATATGCAGGTGTCATTTTAATAAGCGTAAAGTTCTTTGCTTGCTCAAAACGGCTCTCCGTGTACTTTTTTAACAAATTATTATTGTAATTATTATGTAATTATTTAAACAAATATATACACCTCATTTGGAGTCAAACATCACCGGCATATATTATTTTATTACAGTGTTTCGAAGTAAAATATCGTTGCAGAGATTTATCTTTTTTGTGGGACATTTTAAATAAACATTTTAGAAGCCTTAGTGTGAGCATTCTAATTAATTTTGGCTCAGATTTATTTAATACTGTTATTTGGAAACAAATTTTTCAAATTGATTAAATGTAGTACATATCAATATGAGTTATTCGTGAAGATAAACTGGGGAAAAAACTTCACTCAATAATAAAAGATTAGGGTAGTTTAGGGGTTTGGTTCCCTTTTGTAATTTTGAGACCAATTCCATTAAAGTACTTTTTTTAGCAATTTGGTACCAAATTCTTTGTCCATAGTGGTTAGTGGGATGTAGTTACTTTGTAGAATTAAAGCATTATGGCCGTTTCAGATACTACATCTTAAATCGAATATAATGTAGAGATATTTATCCAGAAAAATGAATAAAATTACTTTGGAAAAACTGATTTATTATATAAAAGCTAACTTGAACATGACTATATTCCAAAATTATAAAATAAAAGAGAACTCCCTCAAAGGGATCAAGAAAATCATTCTATTTACTAAAATAATTTTGTCAGATATAAATTTAAAGGTAGGGACCGGGAGACCCAGGAGGCTTCGGTCCAATCACCAATAATTTGAAATCAAAAGAAACATGAATTGATCTCAATGGACAGTTAGGAGCATGGGAAGACATCTATGGTTGCCGATTTATCGAAAGATAACACAGTCAAAATTTAAGCTAAGCCCCATTATCAGTATTAAATTTGAAAATAATTTGGCGAAAGCGAATCGATAAAAACACTGCGAGAATTAGTTTGACCTAGTAACTGAAGCATTTTTGTGGAGAGAAATATAGAATAAAGAGTTATAAATTGATTTTTGTTTTCGATTTAGTAGTGAAAGGGAATTAAGGAGTCTTACATTAATATTAAAAAAAAAAGTTAACCGTTACATTGATTGTTAAGACACGAATAAAATAATTTTTTTGTTGCTTTCTTCAAATAAAAAATAATCAATAAAAGTTAATTAATAAAAATTACCCAATCGAAAGTATAAATTAATAATAGTTAATTAAATAAAAATTTAATAATTGGTTTAATTTAATTAAACATTGATTAAGAATTATTAAAAAAATAAGTTTAAGAAATTAAAGAAATTTTAAAAGCTAGGAAATACATAATGCCTATCATGGCATCACAGAACCAATTCTTTGAACTAAATAAAGAAAGTATATGAAATGGGAACCTAAAAAATTAAAAGTCTATGATCTTTACAAATAATTTATTTGTATGGAAAGACAATAGATAAATATTTTCTAAGCTTCATCTAAAATTTTTAATCATTGGAAGAATTCGAAGTATTTTGATGTACTCAGAAATAATTTATAGCAACTAAAGTGAAGTTTACTTTATCTTGACAGTTCTTATCCAATGATTTATAAGTAAATTGACCAACAAAGTTGTTATGGATGGTAGGTCATGTAATGGATACGTTCCATGATTATATTTCAGATAGATTTCAAGAAACGGAATTTAAAATAGGTAAAAGTTAGAAATGTAGTCCTCAACTTTTCTCTGGATAATGTGAAAATTTATTTTACACAACATTTCCGTAGTAATAAATAGAATCAAAGTTTTTTTCAAGCATTTTGATTAATTGCATATTTATTTTTGATTTAAGTAAAACAAAATCATTTAGACAGATTGATTGAATAATAGAATTGAAGAAAATTCTATTTTTGCATGCTAAAGTATACATTAGTACATGGTAAGAGAGCTAAACGCAATTTATATGTCATTCATTAAGATTATATATCTCAACATTGTATTATATTAAAAAAAAGCATATTTTAATAACTTTTATCTGTATCAATCTGCTTAAACTGTATCAATATTTTATTGTATCATTGCGAATGTTTAATTGTAGAATTTACTTCATTTATTAAAATGGGTTTGTGTTTGATTTTTCAGTTAATTCAGATGCATTAGCAACCTCATCAGAAGTTCCAGCGTTTGCAGAACCTATACCAAACACAACAGCAACTGTTGGTCGTGAAGCAATAATGAAATGCACGATCGACAACCTAGACACATATAAGGTATGAACGTGAACCATGTCACAATAATAAGCTGCACTTTAACATTTTCATAAGTAAAATTATTTCTTGTATTTGTATTGTAATGAACTGAAAATGAGCAAATTACTGGAAGTGAAAAGCATTAAAACTAGTTCAATCAATCTTCAAAAGCTGAATTTTTCAAAAGTCGTCTAGCAATATCTCATTTCCGAAGATAACGAATGAAGATAAATGTCTCCAATCTTTGCAATAAATACTCAGATAAAGACAAACATCTATCATGTATTCAATAGAAAATAACTACATCATGGAACTGTACTGTATCATTAAATACTTAATTTAAATTGAACTATATCATTGAAAATTGATTCCGAACTGAACTGTATCATTATTATATTGAATAATCTTATGTGAGCATGCAAGGAATAGAGATGGTAATGAATCGAAAGTTTTTAGAAGGATAAATGCTAATTTGGAGACTGAATTTATTGCACTTTTATAGCACTGCACTTTTATAGCACAGTTTTGGCAAAGTTGACATTTTTACATCACAATATCAGGTTTTTACAGATTGCCTAGGCCATGATTACCTAGGCCTCTCTAAACGTCTTTATTAACACCTATTAACAGTTATTGACAACGTGTGAGGAACATCAGGGATTGAGGTTAGATCGACAAAATATTAGCAACAATATAACATTGTTCCTTACTATTATTTAAATGTAGGTTTTTCCTGAAATTCTACAAAAAATAGTACGATATACAAAAACAAAGCAGTCCTCGCATGTAGGGGAGAGTAAGAGACGAAGATTCTGGTGAAATTAGCTCTATTTTCAGCTTTACATTTTCTGAATTAAATTCTGTTACGTAAGAAGAAAAAGCTGTCACGTTGACGTTTTTTAGTTGCTAAATACACAGTGACAGTGTAGATAAGTTTGTTTTGCTGGGCCAAATCTCTAATGCATTTTTTTCAACTACCTTATTTATTGGCCATTAGATCACATTTACATTTTAGCCATGCTTATTATACCTTAACCATAAGGTTATTATACCTATACCATAAGGTTACGTACCCTGACAAATAATAAGGCAAATAATGAAAACTTAATGACATTTTTATTTAAATGCTATTTTTGCAATCAAAATGTAATGAATTTAATGATGATTTTTTTCTAAATTTTGACGTATTACTCTTCAACTTTAATTTCGTAAATGGTTTTTGAAGTTGAATCCACAGTATAATTAATTAGAATTTAATTAATCAATTAATAAATATATAAATAACACTTCTCTTTATTTAGTTCTTGAAATTTCAATTCAATTATATTTTGAATATGAATATTCAAAAAATTTAATACATTGTGATAACGGTTTTAAAAAAAACATTATTCGAAACAATTCATTTTCTCTTTTTAACTTATAATCATTTGCAACAGGATATTTGAACATATTCTCTTTTACTTTACATACAGATTTACTTCAAAGATAGTACAAAGCACAATACAGCAGAATAAAGATAATTTTCTTCGTACCAGTGCTCGTTATCTTAATGGTCGCTCGATAAAATAATAATACGAGAGTAGAAAAAAAGTAGTGAAAAATGAAGGAAAACAAAAAAATTCTCCGAAGGGAACGATTTCATCTGGAATCATTATCCCCATACCAGATTGCAAGATGCTACGTTATTTCAATTCGGTGGCCATATTTAATGGTTGACTGAAGCTTGGGTTATGGAATGAAATCGCGAAGACAAATGCGTTTGTGTAGTCGAGATTTCCTTCTTTTTTCTAAATCTCGACATCAATCGTCTTTATATAGCTTTACATTACCTTTAACATAGCAACTGATTGTTCACCTTGCAACAAGACATTTCTTAATTCTGTCTATTCTTAGGGCAAGATTGTTATTCATAAAATCTTTTCAAAAGCAAAGCCATTTTGGAATGTTAGCATTTTTGAGCCACTTACTGGAAATCGTTTTCTACCTTAATGAGATAGATCTGAGAATAAGTCATTTCTATTCATCTTACTTTTTTTCAACGAATTTTTGCATTCAAATAGAAAATGAATTCCTTAGTAATCTAAAATTTTAAATAAAGAGGCAAACTGACTATATTCTGAATTTAATGTAAATAAATGTTTTGGCTTTTGTTGATAGAGAATTCTTTGGCGCTTACTTCCACACATAGAAGAGCACATAAAGTCTACCTGAGAGCATATAGTGCCTCATAAAACATATTTCTTCAGAAAAAAAAAATGTATTCAATAGAAAATAACTACATCATGGAACTGTACTGTATCATTAAANTCGCTCATTGGATACGTTCTTAACGTCTAGCTTTTGTATACTTTTTTGAACACTGAAGTTCCGAAAACTTTTCACTGTGGAAAATTCTAAACCTGTACATTTCAATATTAATTTGAAATCGCAAACAGTTCACATATTTTTCTTAATCTCACGATTCTAAATTTCAGTTGTTGAGAAAACTAACTGTTGCAAGCTTTGTTTTAAAGTCCCAGGAGAGGGCTAAAGCCATGTGTTGTGAAACAATATGAAATAGTCTGCCACTGAACGCCGGAAGTAAAGCATCGGCTTCGATGAAGATAATTTTGTATTTTTAATTCTCTAAAGGGTGCCATCCTAATAATATGGAATTTGTGAAATAAATGTATATATTTTTGTATAATTTAGATCTAATAATGTAACAAAATGCGGTATAGTAAAGTGCTCAACTCAAAATAAAATAGCAATAGCATTACACTTCTCATCTCTGCCACCGCTAAAATGCTAAGATTAAAGATACAATGACTCATAACGAGTAAAACATTACTCCACTCTCATGGCAAAAATTATTTCATTCAGATGCATTTTTTCAGCTATTAATTGATCAAAACCGCATGAAAAACGTTTAAGAGAAAAACAGATTTCATTTATGTTTGAAATCAATAAAAATATACCACGAAAATAGTTTTTCACTTTCAACTCCTTATAATGCAATGTCAGGAGGACCATCGGGTGAGTTATTTTCTTCCTCACTAAAGAAAAGTTATTTTTCTATTTCTTCCTAACACACACTTCAAAAAATGCACCTTTTGAAGATCACAAGACTTCACGTAGGATAAAGTTCAGGTAAAATTACCTTACAGTAGTGTAATGATATTTCTGGTAAACCAAGTTCAATTCAAGTTAAAATATTCAATTTCTCCGACACTAAACTCATTTAAATTTAAGTATTGAAATTTAAAAATTAAATATTAAATTTAAATATTTAAATTTAAAAATTAAATATTAAATTTAAATAGAACAATTTAAAAAAAAATGATTGGTCCTTCTTGAAAAGTTCATTTAATTAAGGGCAAGAATATATAGACTTAGTAAATAACCTCAAATACACTACTTTTTTTAAAAATAAATCAAGATTAGTGAGTTAAAAGAAGCAACATATTTTTTTCCTTAAAACTGGATACTGTAAAAGTTAATGCATAGTTTATATTATTATTTTTTAACGTTTTGTGTAATGCTGATGTAACAAGTGGACTAGAACAAAAGGCTTCATGCTAGATCGAGAATTTCCGTGCTTTATATTAATTACATTTCTGAAAAAGAAAATCCATATATCTGGTTAATAAAACCGAAATATACTATATTTAAAGCCATTTACTTAATACTTCTTCCCCGTTTATATGATTATAATTAATAGTAATTCAGGTTTTAAAAATTACAGTTCTTATTACCACACATTCAGTAAAAATTGAAAAACTGACAAGTAAATTTCATCGCAGAAAATAGTTTTTAAGCCATGATCTAAATTTCAAGAAAAAATAACCGAAATTTACTCCATTTACCAATATACTCGCGTATTATAAGACCTTATTATATTATCAATTTTACCAAAATTGTTTATGGATTACTTAGTTAAAAAGTACCTAGCATTTTAGTGTTCCCACAGAGCCAGAAACATGGTTACCAGAATATTTATCATATTCTGGTAATAATGATCATATTTTTTTCTCAGTGTATCTTGCTACATTACTTCGTTCTTTTTTCAAACTTACCAGTTACGGGTAATCAATAATGTTGAAAGATATTGCTGCTATTTTCATTTTCTTCTTGCGAAAACTTAATACAATTTTGAGATTTGGACAGACCATCGCAAATAGCATATTGTGCAACTCTAGTGCTACGTAAATAAAATACCTACCTGCGTGAAATTTGAGCAAACATTCCTATTGTAGATATTTTTGTCTTTCATAGAGTGCAAGTTCACGTAATTCAGTGAACAATTTATACGACAAAACAATATGCACTATTTTAATAATAATTTTAAAATAATAATTGTATTTTAAATAATAATTGTGGCATAAAAGAAAAGAAGAATAGGTCAATCTCTCTATTTTATGTTTGATTCATTTTATCGTTGTTTTAAAAATTTGATATGCGTATAAACTCAAATCTGCAAGCCCGCTATAATCACAATTTTTATGCAACCTTAAATTGTTGCTATAATGGATATATACTGTATTCGCCAAAATGATTTTTTTAAATAAAAATTGAAGAATAAATAAAGTTCAATATTAAATGCAAATAAAGTAAAAAAATGCATTTTCAAGGTGTTATGAATTGTAAAAGACTTAAATATACATGTATTATATTTCATAAAACTAAATAATATGATGCAAAAAGTAAGAAATTACTCCAGTCTTATGAAAAAAAGAAAATAAGATGTTTAGGGAAACATCTGACTTTCAACAACTTTTTTTAACATTTTTAATTAGATACATAGCTTTAAATTAAATAGTTTTTCCTTGTCTGAAACGTTTCAAGATTATAAGAAACAAACCAACGTTAATATTAAGTTTTTTTGACCCAAAAGCAATACAATCAAATGGGAACTTTGCACTAGAGTAAATTATGAAACAAAAAGAAAAAAAATATTTAATGATGCTTTTCATAATTCTTATAAAAATAAAAGCCAATGCTCCAGTTTAATTTATCTACTTCTATACATTGTTTTAATAAAAAAAACATATTAGTACAACATTACATAGGAAATTACATAGGACGTAAAGAAGTTTTACATTGGAAGGCTTTTTACGAAACAATTTATAACACGTATCAATAAACAAAAATCCGTTTCAAAAACTGTAACAACTTAAATGATTAAAATGAATACTCACTCTGGAAAATTGTGTTTTAAATTTTTGACCAACGACCTTTCAGATTTTCAATAACTTGGAAACATTAAGTTTTGAGAAATTTTTTTGAAGGGCCGCATAAAAAAAATGATACGAATGCTCAAAAGAGTATTGTACCTAATAGAGAAAAAAAAGTAAACTATATAGGTATTTAATTAAAATACTAATAGGATAAAAAGTTTATTATAAAATTTTCCAAAGTTTAAATTTTGTGTAATTTTTTGAATTAGTAAATCCCGTAATCCAGAGTAAACGAAAATTAAATAATACATACTATTAATGCACAAGATAAATAATAAAGTAATACATACGATTATTGTACTTAATAGAGAAAGAAAAGCAAACTGTATAGTTATTTTATTAAAATACTTATACGACAAAAAGTTTTTTATTATTACATAATTATTGGAAAGTTTAAATTTTGTGTAATATTTTTTCGAATTAGTAATTCTCGTAATCCGGATTCAACAAAAATAAAATAATACATACTAAACTACAATAACATAAAAAAATATTAGTAAAATGCAAAGAAAATATTATAACTCAAAAGATATTATTTTATATGATTCATATTTTTACACATTAATTGTTATTGTTTTTACCTATTGTGTCCAAGAAGGTTTACTTCTAAAATTCTTTAAGTTCATTCTCTTTACGGTATAGTTCTTTTTTACAAATTTTATATATTCTATATATTACTCCTTTTTTTTTATCTCCCTTCGGATACTGAAGTCTGTTAAAAAGAACAGAAAGTTTTCCCGATTAACACATCTTTTTTTCTTCTAAAAACTGTTTCATAGTTCACTTTAAACATGTTTGTTTTACTATTAACTAAGCGGCATAAGACTTTCCTTAAAAAAAGAAACAAATATGAAGTTGAAATATAAATTTTATAATTTTTATTCATTTTTTGACATTCAAATTGCATTATTTCATTTATTATTTGTTAACATTCTCCTTTAATTATTGAAGTCTGTAAAAGAAAAAGAAAGCTATTTATGCTGATATACCGCTTTCTAAAAGACGTCGTCATTTGTATTTGAATGACTAACCGATAGATGGCAGTTTATTAACGCATCTGCAAAATGAATATTTTGCGTTGAAAATACCAATTTGACAATAACCAAACACTCTTTTTTTATAAAGTAAAAAAGTAAATAAATTTAATATTCACAATTGAGCAAAATAAAAGCGTTAAATTACTCAGAAAGAGAAAATAAAAGGGTGAAAAAAGATTTATTTAGTATTTGCATTTAAATATTAAAAGAGTAATGACTTAATAGCCTTATATTCGATTCCTTTAAAAGCTCTGAAGAAATATTTTTGAAATAAAATGACTTGGTACATCAATCATGATCAATGCCAGTTCAGTGAAAGTCCTTTTAATCGTTTTATAAATACACTATTATTTTTACGAGGTCTGTTAAAGACTTAAAATTATTGAGCTTCAAAATTTTATAACTGATTATATCTTGTTTTTTTTTTTACCATGATAGTAGTTGAAGGTATTAAGTAGAAAACGAAACATACTGGGGATTGTACAGTTGTCAATAAATTAATAAAGTTTTATCAAAGGTTATTAAAATACGCCAGAATTTCATAAATTATCTATGAATAAAATATTACAGTTATAAATGGGGTTATATAAAAATAATTTAATTCGTCATCATTAAAAAGAAGAAGAATTAGAATTTATGACTGTTTTTCGCTCGTGGAGTTTTCCAACTATCATTTATATTGATAAAGATGTGTTCTATGATTCATCAATGCTCAAAATCAACGCTTATTCGTTAAATTGAAAAATATATCTATGATTATTACTTTCTAAGCTGTCCGATTTGCCAATTATATTGTGAATCATAGTTTGAATATGTACAGTGGTCCAAAAACGAAAAATGGGTCACTCTGAATAACCTTTGATTTTAATAATGGGATCTTCACGTTCTAGGAAGTAATTTCAAATATGCTAATTAATTAGTGCTGACGATATTTTAAGCGATGAATTCAGACTAAAAAACATAACTTCTCTGCTTAAACATACCTCTTTCTTCGACAGACTCATATTTTTGACCCCAAAAATATAGAGTTTAGCCGCATGCTGGGAAATAAGGTCCCGATAGTTTGGTCCAAACTGGAGTTTGGACCTCTTATTGTTAATTTTATTTTTTGCGCATTGCATCACATCTCAGAAACCTTATCTCGAACTGAAGAAATTTTTCGCACAATTTTAAAGTTCTTTTATTCAAAGATAATTCCATGAAGAAAAAAAAACTTTTAGCAAATATTTATTAACTTAGAATATTTTATTTAAAAGTTTTACAAAAAGTTTTGAATTGTAAGGTTCAGCATTTTATACATCATTTTAAAGAATGTTATTTTACCTGTTGAAATACAAAGTTTTGAGCAAAACTGGTAAATCGACAAATAAATTGCGAGAAGTTGACTTTTAAATTTTTGTTTGAATTGAAATTGAATTTAATAAAGATCCCACCAATAGATCGAAATTTACTCAGGCCTGCCTGCTTATTATTTTGCACACTGTACATGACGATAAATATATATTGAGTTCCCTCAGGTTTATTTTTCAGGTACTCGATTTATTTTTAAATATTTTAAAAATTTTAAGTTTGTGGCTATACAATTTTCTTTGTCAATTTCTTGTCACTCGCCACCAGTTTTCACTTGAAAATTCGTTTGATTACATTTTATTATTTCAACTGGGCTGCCTAAAATGGGTTCATCTTGGAGGCCAGATTTTTTCATTTCTGTGCACCAATTACGAACGGTTTTTTTCAGCTGTGGAAACCTGTTGGTACAGAGCGGTGGAGACTCAAGCAATAGAGCGTTCAACTCTCATTGAGGCGATCTAAGTTCCAATCTCATTGGCGGCTGTTTGATACGAATTCTACTCCCGTCTTGAACCGATTGCAGTGGGTACTTAAGATATAGTCAGTGGTGAAAAAATCCTGGGTTAAAATCCCCTTTCCATTGGGCAAACAATGGGCATTAAAAGTAACAAAAAACGAGAGCAACAAAAGAAAATAACTAAAAAACAGAGCAACAAAAAATGAGAGGGGCCAAACAAGCCCATATTTCTTTTTAGTGTTAACGATCTGGTGAACACTGAGTGAAAACCGGGAGTTATTAATGGGATTTTTAATTCTTTTTACATAGCATGAATTCAGAGAAGGGGTAATTAATATGAATACGACATCTAGTAGTCATCATTCCAACGATACTACATTGTTAGCCAGGCTAACCACGGAAGTTTTTCGAGATTTTCCATTCCATGCCACGCAAATGAGAGTTAGTTCCATCAAAATATTCACCACGAAGTTTAGTTTGCCCACAAGCTTGAACAAGGAGTTCTCTTGACTTCCGGGTTGAATTCAAATTTACAAGGCTACGAGGCTTGCAGAGTTAAGCATTGTTAGTCTTAAACTTAGAATTTAAGAATTTGGTCGGCTTTTCATCGTTATAAAATAAAATAAAATCTCTCCTTATACAGCACAAATGCCGAGAGCACCTTTTCATCCTTGTTAAAAAGAAAATTAAATGAAGCGTTGAAAACGAACAGTTTTCTCTACTTCGCATTCTATTCTAATAATTCACTGAAAAGTAACATCAAATAATTCAAACAAATAAGCAAATAGATTCCAGAAGAACAAAAAATATTTTTTTTGAAAGATCTATACCACTGTGCCAAAAACCTTTAATGACAGACAAAAAGTTAAAATTAAAAAAAGGTTGGTACTCAGTTGTCAGCCAAATGTTTTATTCCATTACACACATTTACATTAATTCTTCTTATTTAAAAATTTAGGTAGCTTGGATAAAATTGGATACCCAAACCCTACTGAGCTATCATATTCACGTGATAAGCAGAGATAAGAGATTGAAAATAACCAACAGCAATCAAAGACAATGGTTTCTTCATATCAAAGATGTAAATGTCTCAGATAGAGGCTATTACATGTGCCAAATTAATACCGAGCCCATGATAAGTCAAGCTGGATATTTGGATGTAATGGGTAAGACATGTTTTTCTTTAAGGCTTTAATCAAGCATTATGTATTTATTCTTTTAATTGCATTAAATTGTAACACATAATTTATGTGCAGGCGAATTTAATTTAGCTTTAAAACATTAGTTGAATTTTAAACTAGTACTTACATTAATAATTTACTTTTGTAGATTAGACAGAACATTTATGTGACTGCATCTATTTAAAAGAAATATAAATCTTTTGCTCGTTTTTTTTCTGGGGGGGGGATTTTAACTAATTTTATGGATTCGATGTAATTGCAGCTCATATACACTAAATGAAATGTATTATTTTTCCTTATTTTTTTCGTTGATATCTTTCTTTCTCTAATCCTTTCTTATATATATATTTATATATATATATATATA